AAGTACCCTTTTGAGAAAGCCCCTTAACCCTATAAATGATCTAGACCGTTCATCCTATGCAAGACGCCCTGTACTACTGTATTGTCTGGTATGTGCTCGAAGGGACAAAGGTAGGCAAGCACGGCTTGAGTAGCACGCAGGTCATGGAGTCGAGGAGTGTGGCATCTTGGCAGGTGCATTCATAGCGTGGACGGCCATGTGCACATCGCGCGCAGTGCATGGTCATTTTCATTGCGGTGCTCGTCATGTAGGGCGTAGTTTGTGCTATCCGTGCTTGAGTTTGCAGGTTTGGTGCTGTGAGATCTCGGACCTAAGCATAGGACCTAGGATGCAGCTTGGGCATCGTTGCCGCAGCATTCGTTCTCCACCGGCATTTCACTGGAGTTTAGTTGGCGTTCGGGCATGTACAGTACCTGGAACGGGCTGAAAATATAGATGTTCTTACCGGGCATGGCTGCTCTTAATTAGCTTTGAGTACTGGACCGTTGTTGTTGAGCTACGCTTCAGGCATTTCCGGTGCATGGCCGGATTCCTGGGGATATAGACCCACAGACATATGAACCTGGAGGAGTGCATCACAAGTGTTCAACTGTGTCCGTAGTGTGCCAGTCCTCTCCTGTTGGGTTTTAGGGCCTGGGGCTTAAGCGTTATGACTCCTTCATCGGCTAGTCATCATCCTACACGCCCTCAGCCTCAAAGCCTCAGCCCCACTCACAGCCCTAAACCCCGGACCGTAAGAGGGTTTCGAATCCGGCCAAGCTTCTTGAACCCTGAACCCTAAACCCTAAACCATATGCCTCGCGTGGATTGTCCGAGTGTGAGCGCCGAAACTCCTATATGGGTAGTTCTCTAAATTAGGGTCCCTTTTGGGGTCCTTTTTGTAAGGGTGCCGGACTACTATATTGGGGACCTAAAAGGGACCCTAATTTAGAGAACTACCCATATAACCGTGGGCCAAGATTCCCGACACGATCACCTTCCAGTCCTTGATCAGCGCCTGCGAGGCTCATCAGACGAAAATGGCTAGAGCTCCCCCAAAGAGTCCAAAACCCCTTACTTAAGGAATCTATGCCTTCAATTATCGGGGTCTTAATCTTATGATTTAAGGCAGATTCCTTAATTCAGGTATTGGACTCTCTGGGTCAGGGTCTACCTGGACCGCGAATACGGTAACCGACCTCTTCAGAGCTCCTTATTAGGATTTCTCTAAAAAAAAAGTTCTTATGAAGGTAGGTTTTTTGGACCCCAAAGCACCTACCTTATTGTTTAAGGCTCCTCAGTATGATTTCTCCATAGAAGTCCTTAAAAAGGTAGGTTTTTTAGGTGTTAAGATAGTCTAGCCGCTAAGTGCCCGAAGGCTCCGAAGTTCAAAGTACCAAGATAGTAGACAGTGGGGCCTTTTAGGTTGATGATATAAACCCTGCCTTACCCAGAATAAGGAATATACCCGAATTCCCATAGTTCAGGGTCCTTAACGTAACGCAGGGTTTATATCATCAACAGTAGGACTTACCATTATGGTTTGGGCAAGTCTCCCCCATAAGGGTTCCTTTAAGCGTTCCTTTAAGGGATCCCTTGTAGGTGCTTAGGACCCTGTGGGTGTTTAGGGCGATTCATACCCTAAACCCCAAAACCCCTAAACCTTAAGCCCTAAACCCTAAGCCCTAAACCGGGTGTTTAGGGTGATTCATATACCCTAAACCTCGTGACGTGCTGTCCTGGATCCGTCATGTACCCACACCCTGGCCCCGGCTATCCGGGACGTATCGTCTAATTGCACCCCTGTTCCTGGCATCCGGGGATCTTGGGCGTATTCTCGTTCAATCCGGGGGATGGGTGCGTTTTTGGCAGGCCCAGGTGCACTGCTTTGCAGCGTGCCATGGTTGACAAAACACAATAATTCTCTTGTTTTCTTGTTAGGCCGTGCCGGTTTGAAAGGTACGACGCGTGGTTTTGAAGTGTTCGAAGCTCCGGACATTGTATGGATTTCACTTGAATATAAGATTAGAATCGTCCGACCAGGAACGAAATCATAAGCCAAACCTGTCGGTGTGTCGTTCCTGAACTTCTGCCCTGCAATGCAGGATCGTCTGGGTACTTCTTTTCAATATCGTGGTAGCATGGTTTCTAGATGGCATGCGCCGAACGCCTGCTAGAACTTTCGAATCGAAGGAGATAGCGTTCTGTTCATCACTTGACATTTTTCTTGTTTCGAAGGAGGGATTTGCGTGCCAGCAGTGCATGTTCTTACGCTTGCTGAGTTGGGCACAAGCTGCTTCAGCTCCCCAGACACTTGGGTTCGGAGTTGTTGTAAGCCAACTTTGACAGGTCATTGCATATGGTTGGGAGCGTGCATTTCAGATTGGATCACTAGATAAATTTACTCTGGTTCATCGATATTTAATTCTGTTCTGGGGCTGCAGCAGCCAGGAAATTAGTCCTGTAGGGGACCTGCATAGCTGCAGGGGCAGCAACAGGCCTCCATCCATGCAGGACTTCGCGCCTCCATCGCTGAAATTTTTGCTTGGGAGGCTATGCATTTTGAGCAGCTCATCTTCTGATATTGCAATCAGCCGGCGGAATCTGGAAGTGTTGGCTGTCCGTATGTTGGATGATGGAGAACTTGGCAGCAGGGCCAAGATGTTGAAACAGATCAAGACTTTCATGGCGAGCGACAATGCCGAGTTGTTTGCATGTCGTCCTACATGTACGGAGTCTGTGAGTGAGTCAGGCGACGCTGATTGTACTGGGGCCGAGCTGTACTCTGTGAACCTAGTTCCTGTGCTTTTGGGCGAATGCGGAATGGAATTTTCAGTGCAAGCTTGGGAAGACGCAGTTTCAAACTTACATCAAAGCATAGAAAATTCAACTGCTCCTGTCTTACCGGCAATTGAGCGACCAAGCGTGAAGGACGAGGTGGCGGTGGCATGGACAGTGAAACTGTCACGAGACCAATTGTTGGAGAAGCTTAATGCGCGAGACAAAGAGCTACTAGAGCTGCGACGGAAGGAAGCGCGGAGAGATGCATCGAAGTCAGAAGTGAGCCGGAAGTTGAAAGATGCGCAGGCCAGTCTGAAACAAATGAAGAGACAGAATCATGGTTTGAGAGTGAAGCTGGCGAACGCGGCAAAGCGGGAAGAGAAGCTGCAAAGCACTGTTGCGCGCATGAAATCCATGATCATCGAAAGAAACGGACGCCATTGTAAGCACGTTGAAGGCTCGGATGCTGGAGAGCGTGGCTGGTTGACACCAGCAGGGATTGTGCAGCTGGCAATCAAACGCAACCTTGCGCACTGTGCTTCCGAGCATTTGCAGCTGATCATTCAGCAAGATGTGTCACGCTGGACAGTCTCAAGCTACGTGGCTGGCACTCAGGGATTCAGAGGTTTCATATTTTCCTTACAAGCCGCCTGACAAGTGGGCATCGCTAGTCAAGTCGCGAATGGTGGTATCCTTCAGTTTTCAATCTTCAGTCTTCAGTATAACAGATTGAAGAGGTGGTTGAGCCCGGTCTCTCCCCGCAGTGTTGCCATTTTACGTTGTTACATTCAGCGGACCGCTAGATTGGCCAATTGATAATAGGTGGAGGTGGAGATGGGTCGAGGTTTTCAATAGAAGTATAAGTACAGATGCTGATGGTTCTTAGGAAGAGCAAGTAGGATATATAGCTTGGGTAAGCAGCAGTAAGCATGAACCGTATTGGTTTTGCACCGATTTGCAGTGTTGAGATTGTCATTGTGCACGGTTATGAAAATTGTGGTTGCTGTGGATTGTGCCAGCACTGTGCTAGCTTGTGCCCCTCGCTAAGGGTGTGAAATCAAAGCAGCCGCCGCACTTGTGGCTAGCGCCAGGCTTCATTTCAATGCTATACGGCAGGAATTATTTTACGGTTCTACAAGTGAATACACGGTGGTTGTGGTTGCATATCGCCAAGATGCCACCAATTCCAAGATGAAGCAAATTCATATGGAATTGGAGTGCGCACGACTTTCAGGATTGCAGGTTCAAGGACCCAAGACGAAGGTGCAGCCATTGCTTGGGGCGGACAGATTTTGCTGCTTGTCAGATGTGATACCGGTCCAAGAAGCCACGGGCCTTGCGACTGTAGGTATGACCTTGAAAATGTTGGAATCGGTTGGTGCCTTTACCTGGCAGGAGCTTTCGGGTCGTTTGTCGCAGGAAAAGGCTAAGGTAGCCGACGACTTATCTGCTTTGGCTTCAGACAAGCAGCAATTTAGAGAAGACGTGCTCAAACAGATACTTGGCATGCAAATAGGTGGGGCTAAATTCCGACTAAGGATGTTGATGCAGTTAACGTGCGTTCAACTAGGTCAAGGCAACAACAGGCACGAGGCTTTACTATACTCTTCCTGTGCTGCCCTATGCTTAGGCTTCCTGAATACCGTATATTGGTTTGTGTTATCGATTTGATGGACTTGAGACTTTTGCAGTGGGTCTCAGCTGCGGAGCCGCGGAGCTCTTTGTGCCGTCGAATAGCCCAGTGGCCCGAGGGTTCTAGTGGGACTGATCGTTGGATCATGATGAGCCGAGCCAATGGGCAATGATAAATAATATCATGATAATGCTGGGGCGTGAATTGGCGTGAATGTCTTTTTGGCGTTGAAAATGCAGCTTATGAGTTTATGGTTTATGGTTTATGGTTCAGTTTACGGGGTTGTCGAGATGTAGTTGTCCTTGAGGGGTGGCTTTGGTCGATGTCGGTGTGGTGATTAGTAGATTAGTGATTCTATTCTAGACTCTAGACTTGGTTTTCAGATTTAGTTATTGCGTTCTTGGTTTTGGCTCCGCTGTCCCAGCTGGCCTTATTGCTTGGCTGCTGCACTCGGAGTTCCCTCAGCCTGCACCCCTCGTTCCACGCTGTTAGTCTTAACGTTATCAGCTGTCAACGTTATCAGCCAGCCGTTGCCGTTGTCGTTATCAAAACAAAGGTCGGCCTCTGCATTGATCAAGAACGGAGAGTTGTGGTTTGTGACAACGACAGATCGTGGCTCCAATGAAGTTGCAGCGCGTGGGATTACTCAAAGTTATTTTGCTTCGCATTTGGGGCTCCTTCCCACGTTTTTTGCAGCCTCAGATTGTTTCGAACACTTGTCGCATCTCATTACTCTTGCGTCCCTGGCTTTGGTTGACGAGGAGTTGAAGTCTGCTGGAAAGACTTGGCGCTATTTTTCATCTTTGGCAGTTTTCTGCCACACATGTCGAGGCCTCGCAAAAAGTCTTTATTACGAATGGTGCAAGCAACATGATCCATTGAGCGCTAAGCAGCTGGTTCATAAAATCTTCCCCCGATGCGACAGCGGGCGTTGGAACAGCACGGACGAGGCAGAGAAACGGATCTTAAGCTGCAGTCGACCGATGTTTTTGCCTGTGTTGCAGAGAGTTTTGCATCAGGCAATCGCTACCGATGCATGTGGACCAGAATCGTCTACAGTTTGGTCCGGGAATGCTAGTTGCCAGCCGGACGCCCCGGGGCCAGAGGGCCCTGCTTCCAAAAAGCGACGTGCTGTCAGCGCCACTACCGCCAGTGCCAGCGCGTCTTCATCGTCCAAGAAACCGTCTGTTGCTGCTGCTGATGACGCTGAAACCCTGGACGCAGTGAACGGCTTGTCATTGCAAGAGTCGAAGGCTTATTCTAACAAAATCGGCAAATATAGACGATCATCCCTAGCATGTTGCGGAGATGCTACCTGGTGGGGGCTAGTTCAAGTCATGAACTGCGTGAAGCAACCCACAGTGCATTTGTCGAGCTTTCTGAAGAAAACATTGGACAAAGAGCATCTGACGCTGTGCGGCAATGCGCTGACCCAGCTTGTTCATTACAAGGCCCAGGAACTCATGACAGAGTGCGAAGCATTGATTGAGTCCAAGCAGTTGCACTCCGTTTTCTTGAACACCGAGTTGGCCGGAGACGACAGGATTCTTGGAACATATCATTTGGATGCATGTACATGTTGTCATGTTGTCATCATCGAATCATCGTCCC